GTAGCGAAGCGTCTTTAGTCGACATCGAGACCATTGTTCTATGGAAGTGATATGCCATATGCCTCTTCATTCTTCTCACTACGACCAGAAAAGTTCATTGAAAGCCGTTGACACGGTGCAGGTTTCATTCATTGTATCATTGGTTGAGGGTAAGCGCGATAGCTAAGTAGACTTTTGGCCAAAATGTTGAATTTTAAGTCTTATCACTTGTATTCACTCTCACATCACAGGGTTTCCGCAATGCGATCCCAGAGAACCGTCTCCACCTGTTGAGCTGTTCAGCACAGTGGTCTTCGGCATGTTTCCTGTGACAGTAGCCACACGTCGGGCATAGTATCGCTACTGAAGGTGAAGTTTCTTTCTCGACAAAGTCGAACAGTGATCGTTTTTTCGTATGACTACCGGGATCTCAGCTTCCACTTGCACCTTTACAGATGCAGCTGCAGCCTTCCTAGAAATGGAGAAAAAATTGGATTCTGGTTTACACGTTGTACCGATTATTACACTGGTTAGTTAGTTATCTTCAAGGTGAAACAGAGCTACCAATAACGCTCGTCCGCGTCAGGTCACCGTTCGTCACCGCAAGGTCCGCGTCAGAATCACCGTTCGTCAATGCTTGCATGACCACACCAGAATTCCATGCCGTCGTTATTTTTCGCGATTCATCGACCTACTACCTGTTTCTTAGCTGGAAAGCTGGCGGACTGTAGAGATGATACGATCAGTTCGACAATGCACTGAATCACTGCTACTTTTACGGTGATTTATTATGCATCCTCGCTGATGCACTTGTCATGGTCGTTCACTGAGAGTGTTCAGAACGTTTCGCCACGTCTTGATGTCACAGTCCTCCGTCTTGTACGATTTTCTGCTGTCAACAGTGATCATCGGGCACGCTTTGTCGACGGGGTATCTGAAATATTGTTTATTGGCCACTTCATTGCTGCACACGTCCGTTAACGATCCAATACACTGATGTTTCATGTCATGTACCGAAATGTCTCTTAAACGACACCATGACAAGAGGTTGAACCTTATCCCTTTCCTTGAATAGAATTCAACATTTAACGATGAAGTAATGAGGCCCGTTATACGGGGTATTTGTATTGAATCTCGGGCCATCGTCTGTGACGGAGGGGCTGGTAGCTCCTGGCTGCATGATATCGCTGATGAACTTGGAGTCTGGTTCCCCGCAAGGC